GAGAGAGAGAGAGAGAGAGAGAGAGAGAGAGAGAGAGAGAGAGAGAGAGAGAGAGAGAGAGAGAGAGAGAGAGAGAGAGGGAAGGCGGTGTGATGAAGTGAGAGTTATCTCATTGTATCTTTTGCATACTAATTTTGATTTTTTTGGTTTACTGTGATTTTTGGTTCTCGACCTTTTTTTTTTGCTCATGGTATTCTCAAATTTTATATTCTTTGATTGATGTTTGAGCTATCTTTATCTCCCTCATCTCTTCGTTTGTTTATGGTTGATCGTAGAAATGAGGATGTAGTGAATGAATGCCCTGCTGAAGTGTGGAAACATGTATGTGATCCTGCCCACTCCTAAAATGACTATGTTCTTGTATATACGGTAGTGATCGACTGTGGAATCTTGCCTTGAGCCGTTGGGGACCGTGACTGTCTCCCCAAACCAGCCTGGATCGAGGCGGATGCATGTAATAACGAGTAGATTGCGATCTGTGTATGTGCCTGAGTGTGGGTTGAACTGTTTATATGCACGGATTGTGCGCAATTGACATCAAATGCATAAAAATGATTGTTCACCTCTTCCCTTTTGCCCCTTGATCTAAACAAGTAAATTCGGATCCGGCAGAACAGATCATGTGCACGCACGTATACGAGTGATTGCCAACCGGCAGCCACCACATATATGTGTGTCTGCATGACCCGACGCCTCCTCTCTTTGCACAACGAAATGTATGAGTCAAGCCCCTCTTGTCAAATATGGATGCAGGCGTTCCATTCTGGATCACTGACCGTGCCAGTCTGAGGAACCCCGAGTACAGAGAATAGTGGGAGAAAGAACAACTCTTCCGCCGATTGAACTTACGACTTCCGTCCTACTCCTGTCAAACGGAGGGCGATCGACTGTGTGCTTGGGACGTTCACTAGGCCATTGGACAAAATTCTCGAACCCCGGATTACCCCGACCCCCGTAATTACCAACACCATCTTACATCGGGATTCGTCGCCATTGAAAGCGACTTTCCTCCATTCTACCTCCTTCTCCCCTATCACCATCTGACGGTAGTTTCCTGGGATTCGATCGCGCACTGCTGGCCCTGAAGGCCGTGTTCTGAGTGCCATCAGTACAACACTTACCGGGCAGCGGGATTCGTGCGACGGACCTGCTCCAAAGCGGAGCACCGAGAACACAGTCTCCAACTGAGGCCGTCCACATCGGACTCGGAGATCTGTGAAACCCGCCAGTGACATGTGTTTGAACAGAGAGACACCCACTGTGTTCCATCAATGCACCAGGTGCGAGCCCCCCCGAGGCGACGGGGCTGGCGAAATTCGCCGCTCGACCCTGAGAAAGGCAAAACCCAAGACCTGGCCCTACACAGAAACCACTTGCATTTCCATCCCTGAAACTTGACACCGGAGATCTCAGTTCCGACCTGGGACTCCACGCCATTTTCCTAAAATCTTTGGCACACCCCTACTACGCACTTCCGGGCCCCCTATCACTCCGAAACAGGAAGTCGCGCTGGGCGTGAGGTTGGGTGTCACAACCCTGCACCCTAAACCACTACCAAGGCAAGGGGCAAACATTTACCTCCCTCAATCGAGAGAGGTAACCTCCCTTCACCAAGAGAGGCAGATAGCTATGCTCGCAAGGGTCCCCCGTATAGCCTTAGGGGTACTAGTCGTGGGTATATCGAGAAAGTTGAAAGGATTTGAGAGAGGAAGTGTACTAGTTGGAAAGAGAAAAAAAGAAAGGGAAAATTGCATCTGTACCCCACTTAAAGATGGGAATACCCTTATTCCCCTATACCCATTCCCACCACGAACTTGCATTTATACCCGGAGGCCGTTCAACTTTGCATAGTACCCAGCTTTTAGGTGTAGCCAGTCCCACAGGCACTGGATTCGGAGCACCAAATTATGCTCATGCCCACCAACTAGACCCTTACCGTTCTAGCCCAACAGCTGCTGGGTATGACCATAGTTTCAGCCATAAGGTAGCAGGGTATATGAACAATTTGTCCGCTTCTCCTCAGGTCCCTGGTATGCCCATAATTTTGCCTTGGTATGTCCATAGTTTGTGAATTCCAGTAGTTGGTTATAACCGCAATTTTGCGGTACCAACTTGGGTCCACCTGGGTCCTGGGTATGCAAACAATTTCCAGCAGCCGTTTTCTGGGTATAGACGCGAGTTGGCATTGGGACTGGGTATAGCCGGTATTCCCATCTTTAAGTGGGGTGCAGATGCAATTTTCCCCATCAAAAGATCGTTGTACAACGTACGTGCGTTGTGTTCGAATACACTGTTGTATTCGAAAACAATGTTGTATACGGACGTTTTTTTTTTTTTTTTTTTT